TGTTTGTTACTATCTTTTAACACCTCTAATCTTCTGGCGCTCATATAACCTTATGCATTTGTGAGCGCCGTAAAATCTCTACTAAAACTTTAAAAAAGCACTCACAAATACACACAAAATTCACCCATCCATCCCTCCATCTATCCGTCCATTCAATATGCATACATATTATCAATCCACACATACTCACATTCGTCTAACTAGAGGTTTTTCTTTGGGTTTTTTAAAGCATTAATTTCCGTAACGAGTGGAGAAACAGGTATCTGACTATCAACTTACATCTCTTATTCCAGCAGTACAGAGCCGTGTCAGATCACAATATTTGCACGTGGTCGCCCGAGTGATAAGACGTTCTGGCCTTCATTATTTCTATTTACGAAGAGCTTTAACCTGTCAGGACCTGGGAGCTGCAGAGACGACTCAGAGCGAGTTGAAATCTCTGATAATCATCGTAAGAACACATTTTTAAAAATTTCTAAATGACGCAGTCGTCATCTAAAGCGCTGAACTTTTATTTTTGCGTCTTTAAAGAAAGGGTTCTTTTTCTGTAGTTCCCACCACCCTTGTTTTGGCCTATTTCATTCGAAACCGCAAAATATTCAGCTCAATTTCGTCTTCGAGTAGTAGATCTAAGTAAAAATACTTAGATCGAGGTAATCAATTTGTCAAAATGACACATACAATTAAACACTAGGCCCAGGCCCAGTGTTGTGAATTGCAATCATGAAGTGCGTCTGGCAAATTGACTGTTGACCACTGTCGCCATTGTTGTTTTGGTCGGAAGTGGAAGTACAGTTTGGCCAACCGTTCTTTGATAACATTAGCCTATTGCCATGTAGGAAAGTGAACCATTTTCCGTGCCATTTACTGTTGCAAAGAAGTGTTTATTTCAAGTAACTTTCGTTCATGTATAGTGCCAAAGGAGATTCATAAGTCGAAATCTCTTCAAATATTCGATTTAGGCCGATATCAGAGAAGTAGTTTTAACTCGATTATAAAGTTCCTGAAACAGGAAAATAGGCGAATAATAATTGGGGGGTAGGAACTACTGAAAGAGCGCTAAAGAATGATGTTAAGAAATCCGTTGAACTTAAGGAGTATTTGGGGCAAGGAAGCCATGGTGCTTTACGATAACTCTTAGTTGGCTTTTTTTTTTTTTGGAGTGAAACTTTAAACATGAGACTCATTCTTGCCTAAAAAAAGGACCCAATTTGGAACCGGAGAAATAAATGATACTATGGATCTATGTATCTAGACTACATATTGGAAGCAACAGCAATAGGAACTCTTAAAACAATAAGAATGCTTTCGAGTTGTTTTTTTCCTATTTATTTATTTATCTTTCTTTTAAAAATTCATTAAATTTTTAATATATCCATTTTCATTCATTCATTTATTCATTCATTCATTCATTCATTCATTCATTCATTCATTCATTCATTCATTCATTCATTCATTCATTCATTTATTTTCTAAAATCTTTTTATATTTCAAAATATTTTTTGAGATGGGGGGAGGGGGTCAATGTAGATCTAGTTACTTCTACACCACCATCGATACAATTTAGATCATTTATGGGGCTAGCTTTCGACCTTTGCTCATAGGGATACAACACTTCGGCAGAAGACCCAGATATTTGATAAAGATTCTCTCCATTCAAGACTAGAACTCGGGACACTAACGAGCGACGGCGAAGCACCTAACAGGTACACCGCATGCGCTGTTTTGTTTATACGCTGCATTGGATGGTTAACGTGATTTAAAAAAGCAGCAACTGGATGACGGAAGAGTAGGTGGCCTAGTGGTTAGGCTCTCAGACTCGCAACCGTAAGGCCATGGGTTCGAATCCCGTCAGGGGCCCGACGTTGTGTCCTTGGGAAAGGCACTTTGCACAAATTTTCCTCACTTCACCCAGGTGGAAATGGGTACCCGGGTATAGACAGTGAACGATCTTGTCAGTTTGAGAGTGTTTGAGCGCGTGAAATCCGCAGCTTGCATTGTAGTATGCTTCCGCG